AAAGCAGAGACTTCAGCTTCAGTTATGCCTTCCATGTGCTGCCACAGCCCAATAGGAAACAATGTCCACATGTAATTAAGGATACTCTCAGCCTCCCAAATAAGACAAGCGAAAGGCTCACCCAATCGTCTACTCAAACCCAGGATTTTTATTCATCAGGAACAGATCTTATCTGCATAGTCCTGAATTTATGCACACATGTTGAATTTATTTATTTTTGTATGTGATAACCTCTTTTTAAATTTTTTTTAAAGATTTACTTATTTATTTATTTATTTGAAAGTCAGAGTTACACAGAGTGAGAAGGAGAGGCAGAGAGAGAGAGAGAGAGAGAGACAGAGAGAGAGAGAGAGAGAGGTCTTCCATCCTCTGGTTCACTCCCCAAATGTCTGCAACGGCTGGAGCTGTGCCGATTCGAAGCCAGGAACCAGGAGCTTCCTCCAGGCCTCCCACGTGGGTGCAGAGGCCCAAGGACTTAGGCTGTCTTCTACTGCTTTCTCAAGGCAGAGTAGAGAGCTGGGTCAAAAATGGAGCAGCCGGGTCTCAAACCAGTGCCCGTATGGGATGCCGGCACTGCAGGCGGTGACTTTACCTGCTACACCACCAGCCCCCTGATTTTTTATTAATATAAAGAGAACAGATATTATGCATTCCATATGTACAGTTCCAAAATAGTGAATTTGATTTTCATTAACATACCCAGTGTTCAGTGGTAGAGCAGTGAGTCTTCATTATATAAACTCTAATTTAACTATAGGAAAATTGGCATACATGGCCATTGGTCAAAAGCACGATTCATTTGGTAGACAAAGACAGCAATAGGTGATGATCTGGATGTGCAGTGAGTATTCTGGCTAGCCAGAGAGGTGCTTTGTTTTTGTCCATTGTTATCCGGAGCCAAGCCTGAAGAAGAATGACTTTGGGGTGGTTCTTCTAGGATTGCATTTTAGCACCTGCTGGTGCAGTTACCAGCATCGGAAATGGCCTCAGTCTATTATGATCAGTCCCTGATCACCAGCTTTCCAGTTCTGTAGGCTACCAATCCAGTCAATTCCCCTGAACTTCATTAGTTTAGCTAGTAACTGTGCTAGTTTCCTATGGCTGCTATGGCAAAGTTCCACAGATGCCATGGCTTAAACACATATTTCTTCTCTTGACAGTTCTGAAGGTCAGAAGTGAAAATGGGACTCCTGGGTGGTGTTCCTTCTAGAGGCTCCCTTTCCCGTCTCTAGGGCCTGTCTGCATCCTTTGTCTCCAGAGCCAGGGGTGCAGTGTAGCATTTTCCAGTGCTTCTGTCCCTTTCCTTCCACATTCGAACTACCTCTGTCTTCGGTAATGAATCTCCTTCCTTCCTCCTCTTATAAAGAGATCTGTGATTACAATAAAAGCTAGATAACCTCACCATTTGTAAGGTGAGATTACATGTGCGAAGCCCCTTTTACTATAAAAGGCGGCAAATTCACAGGGTCCAGAGATCAGGACAGGGAGCTCTTGGCGGATTTGCCGTAATCGTCAAAGCCGGAATCCTGTCACCAGCGCTGCGGCACACAGGGTTAAGCCACTGCCTGCGACGCCAGCATCCAATATGGGTGCTGAGTTCTGCCTGCTCGACTTCCAATCCAGCTCCCTGCTAATGTGCCTGGGAAACAGTGGAAGATGGCCCAAGTGCTTGGACCCCTGAATCCACCTGCGAGACCTGGAAGAAGCTCCTGGCTTCAACCTGGCCCAGCCCTGGCCATTACAGCTATTTGGGGAGTGAATCAGAGAATGGAAGAGTCTGTGTGTGTGTGTGTGTGTATGTGTGTGTAGGTGTGTATCTTCTCTCTCTGTAACTCTGCCTTTCAAGTAAATAAATAAATCTTTCAAAAATCCAGAATCCTTGTTAGCTCCTGAACTGTGAATTTGGACTCCTCTCTCATTATTTCTGCCTCCAAAGAGAACAGGAGAGCATAAAACCCAAAGCTCTCTCTCTCTATGCACCTCACCCTCATACTAAAGGCTTCTGTCTTGGCTTTTGACCAGAGGCCACACTTCTTATCCCTAATTCAGCCACTGAGGCTTGCCTGCAGCCTACTCCGCTAGATCTTGAGAACATGCAGCATTCTGAGCACGATTTAACAGGGGAGCCAGATGTGTAAAGAAACTGCCAATTCAGCAGCCAGTGGGAGACAGACAGCAGGTTTGTTACCCCCACGCCTCCTAACACTGGGCTCTGTTGCACTAACCGCCGTCTAAACAGGAGATCGTGACACTCAAGCTCATCCTCCTAATTGCAGTAGTAGATGTTGGTGTTCTTCCCACGTGTTGGCATCTGAGATACGTCAGTGGGTTGCTTTTTTCTTCTGAATCATACTTGCCTGAACAGAAGGCGCTGTTGCTGGGTGTAGGTGATTATCTGATCCGCAGGTGCCTCGATTCCCACCCTCATCACACAAAACATGGCCTCTCTCTTCTCATTTGCATCTTTGTATTTCTCCAGTCTGTATTTGTGATTTGTGTTCCTTAGTATGAGACCAGAGAGATCTGGGCCCTTGGAGGGGATTCTGCTGCGGAAAACACCAAGTCTTCCTAGAAAATAATCTGCCATGGGGCCGGCGCTGTGGCGCAGCGGGTAAAGCCGCCGCCTGCAGTGCCGGCATCCCATATGGGCACTGGTTCAAGTCCTGGCTGCTCTTCTTCCAATCCTGCTCTCTGCTATGGCCTGGGAAAGCAGCAGAAGATGGCCCAAGTCTTAGGTCCCTGTACCCATGTAGGAAACTCGGAAGAAGCTCCTGACTCCTGGCTTCAGATCGGCGCAGCTCCAGTTGTTGCAGCCAATTTGGGAGTGAACCAGGGGATGGTTCACTCTCTTTCCCTCTCTGTGTAACTCTTTTAAATAAATAAATAAATCTTTTTTTAAAAAAAGAAAATAATCTGCCACTTCTCTCTCCTTTAGCCAGTCCACACCTGTTCTGTATCTTTCTATACAGTTTCTTGCTTTTTTTTCTAGCTTTTTTAGGTTTCTGTATCAGGGATGGGGAATGTCCAGCCCACAGGCTATAGAAGGCCTGCAAGGTCACTTGGTCTGGACCTGCCAAGGCAACTGCAGATGGGACTCGAAATCCAATAAATCTACAGCAGTGGATAATGTTGTATGGCCTGCAAATGATGTTATAAACACCCAAGTGGCCCTTGGCAGAAGAACAGGTTCCCCACGCCTGCTGGCTGTTGAATCTCTTCCTTCCAGCTGAGCCCTATTGTAGAGGACACTCCCTTAGGATGGGCTCCCCGTGCTCCTCCATAGCACTCAAGAGCACTGAACAAAGGGCTTGCCCACATGACTGTCAATCAGAAATCTGGAACGTGGAAGGTGGGGGTGGCGCTGTTGGAGGGAACAGGGGGAGAAAAGGGAACACTTAGAATCCGGGCTCTGGGGGAGGGCTTTTAGTTCAGTGGAGAAGATGCTGCTCCAGATGCCTGCACCGCATATCAGAGTGCCTGGTTCAAGTCCCAACTCCGCTTCAAATTCCACTTTTTTGCTGATGCACACCCTGGGAGGCAGCGGGTGAGGGCTCAAGTACTTGAGTTACTGCCACCCCCATGGGAGACCCAGATGGAATTTCAGGCTCTTGGCTTCGGCCTGGCTCAGCCCTGGCTGTTGTGAGCATTTGGGAAGTGAGCCAGTGGATGGAAGATCTCTGTCTCTGTATTTCTGTCTTCTAAATACATTTTCATTTTTAAAAAAATATTTATTTTTAATTTGAAAGGCAAAGTTATAGAGATGGAGAGACAGACAAAGAAAGAGATCTTCCATGTGCTGGTTTACTCCCCAAATGGCCACAATGGCTCAGTCTGGGCCAGGCTGAAGCTAGAAGCCAGGAACTTCATCTGTGTCTCCAGTGTGGGTGGCATGAGCCCAAGCACTTGGGCCATCTTTTCTACTTTTCCAGGAGCATCAGCAGGGAGCTGGATTGGAAGTGGAGCAGCCAGGACCTGGCCTGAAGTGCCAGCATTCCATATGGGCATCAGTTCTGGTCCCAGCTGCTCCTCTTCTGACCCAGCTCTCTGCTATGGCCTGGGAAAGCAGTAGAAGATGGCCCACATCCTTGGGCCCTTGCACCCACATGGGAGACCCAGAAGAATCTCCTGGCTCCTGGCTTTGGATCGGCACAGCTCCAGCCATTGTGGCCATCTGGGGAGTGAACCAGTGGATGGAAGACCTCTTTCTCTCTGTCTCGCCCTCTCTCTGTAACTCTTTCAAATAAATATAATAAATCTTAAAAAATTATGAGGGGGGGCGGCACCACGGCTCACTTGGTTAATCCTCCGCCTGCGGTGCCGGCATCCCATATGGGCACCGGGTTCTAGTCCCGGTTGCTCCTCTTCCAGTCCGGCTCTCTGCTGTGGCCCGGGAAGGCAGTGGAGGATGGGCCCAAGTGCTTGGGCGCCTGCACCCCATGGGAGACCAGGAGGAATCACCTGGCTCCTGGCTTTGGATCAGCGTCGCTCCGTCCGAAGTGGCCGTTTGAGGGGTGAACCAATGAAAGGAAGACCTTTCTCTCTGTCTGTCTCTCACTCTCTAACTCTATCTGTCAAATAAAAAAAAAAATATGAGGCTCTGGGAGGGGAAGCAGGTTTTGGGAGGAGTGAGGAAATCTAGAGATGTGAGGGTTGAATCCAAGCCTACTTGTAACACTGTATGTGGATGTTGTGTGCATGTGTGTGTGTGTGTGTGTGCGTGTGGTGGGGAGGGTAGTGGAGGGAATAAGAAACCTGAGAGGAGACAGTTGAACTAAACCAGAGGGACAAGTTCGCCTTTACAACAGGAGATGCTCCTTTCAAATAAAGGGGGTGACTCAGAGGCCAGGCTTATGAGTGACACACAGCACGAAGCAGGCAGGCAGGACTCCTGGGTCCTCCCACTTGGCAGGAGGGACAAGCTTTGATGAGTGGAAAGCTTTCTCCTAGAGAAAATGGGGAAGGCACAAACCACTGACGACTTCCTCTTTCTCCACCCACAGATGTTATTTTTCAAGATGTTCTGGACTGACAGCACCGTCAATCAGCCCCCAGCACCCCGTCCTGTTGCTAAGTTTGCCTCCAAGTCCACAGCATCACCCTCCCTTTTGGACTCTCTGCCCGAGGAGTTCACCAACTTGACCGACCTTCTGTACTGGCCTCCGACCCCAGGAGATGGGGGAAACTTCTTGGCCTCTACCAGCCCCCAGACCTCCACCTACCACCTGAGGGACCCTGTGCAGGTCACTTATGACCTGGGAAGCTCCCTGGAGGCTGTCCTTGTGGCCAGGGACCACCAGGGCAGGCCTAAGACCCACGGTGGGGATCTGTTTCGGGCAAAGCTGCTGGGTCCAGACTTAAATGCGGGAGTCCCTGGGGAGGTGCAGGATCTGGAGAACGGCACCTACCTGCTGTCTTTCCCTCTGCTCTGGGCTGGGAGGGCCCAGGTCAAAGTGTGGCTGATCCACTCCAGCGAGGCAGTCGGAGTCCTGCGGAGAATCTGGAGAGAGAAAGGGGCCACAGTCAATTTCAGAGGGTATTTCCGGGGACCAACAGGGGCGGAAGAGACTGTTGTTTGCAATGTTGACCCCCAGTCGACCGGAGCAAAAGCGGCTACCTGCCAGTACAGAGATGTGATTTCTGGTGAGCTCTGGTTCTGTGCTCAACCGCCTACCCTGCCCTGCAACTCTTTAGTCGGCCACTCAAGTGGGAGTATGCTGAAGGTGACCACACCACAGGATGAGACCCTACTGGCAGGGTAAGAATCTGAGATGTGTCTCCAACCCCAAGTCATATGCTTCCCTCTAGATCTTGCACCACTGATACCATTTGTGTGTTTGTTTTCTCATTCAATACATGAGGGTTGAGTGCCTACTTTATGATAGGCATTGCTAAACAAATACACATAATATGGTGAAATTGCCACACTAGGTATCTGGGAAAGAATACAATTGACATTGGGATTAAACAAAATGGGGGATTCTCCAGGGAAGAAAAGAGGCAAAGTATTCAAGACAGAGCACATGATCTTCATTTATTTACCTGGATTTCTGTCTTCACTTAGGTTGTCATCTGGAACAGGTTATATAAGTAGATTTTTTTTTTTTTTGACAGGCAGAGTGGACAGTGAGAGAGAGAGACAGAGAGAAAGGTCTTCCTTTGCCGTTGGTTCACCCTCCAATGGCCGCCGCGGCCGGCGCGCTGCGGCCGGCGCACCGCGCTGATCCGATGGCAGGAGCCAGGAGCCAGGTGCTTTTCCTGGTCTCCCATGGGGTGCAGGGCCCAAGCACCTGGGCCATCCTCCACTGCACTCCCTGGCCACAGCAGAGGGCTGGCCTGGAAGAGGGGCAACCGGGACAGAATCCGGCACACCGACCGGGACTAGAACCCGGTGTGCCGGCGCCACTAGGCGGAGGATTAGTCTAGTGAGCCGCGGCGCCGGCCATAAGTAGATTTTAAAATATTTTGTCAGGGCCGCATGCAGTGCCGGCATCCCATATGGGTGCTGGTTCGAATCCTGACTACTCCACTTCTGATCCAGCTCTCTGCTATGGCCTGAGAAGGCAGTAGAAGATGGCCCATGTCCCTGGACCCTGCACCCATGTGGAGACCCAGAGGAAGCTCCTGGCTCCTGGCTTCAGATCGGTGCAGCTCCAGCCATTGCGGATGGAAGACCTCTCTCTCTCTCTCTCTCTGCATAACTCTGACTTTCAAATAAATAAATAAATCTTAAAAAAATAAAAAATAAAAATAAGGGGCCAGCTCTGTGGTGTAGTAGGTAAAGCCGCTGCCTACAGTGCCGGTATCCCATATGGGCGCTGGTTCCTGACTGCTCCACTTCTTATCCAGCTCTCTGCTATGGCCTGGGAAGGCAATAGAAGATGGCCCATGTCTCTGGCCCCTGCACCCATGTGGAGACCCAGAGGAAGCTCCTGGCTCTTGGCTTCAGATCGGCGCAGCTCCAGCCATTGCGGATATCTGGGGAGTGAACCAGCAAATGGAAGACCTCTCTCTCTCTGCCTCTTTCTCTCTCTGCATAACTTTGACTTTCAAATAAATAAATAAATAAATATTTAAAAAATAAAAATAAGGGGCCGGCGCTGTGGTGTAGTGGGTAAAGCTGCCGCCTACAGTGCTGGCATCCCATATGGGCGCTGGTTCGAGTCCCGACTGCTCCACTTCTGATCCAGCTCTCTGCTTTGGCCTGGGAAAGCAGTAGAAGATGGCCCAAGTGCTTGGGCCCCTGCACCCATGTGGGAGACCTGGAAGAAGCTCCTGGCTCCTGGCTTCAGATTGGCACAGCTCCAGCCTTTGAGGCCAACTAGGGAGTGAACCAGCAGATGGAAGACATCTCTCTCTTTCTCTCTCTCTCTCTCTCTCTCTCTCTCTCTGTGTGTGTGTGTGTGTATGTGTAACTGACTTTCAAATAAATAAATCTTTAAAAAAATAAAAAAATAAAAATAAATACAAATATTTTGTCTAGAATTTCCAGAGAAGGTGCTATAAATACTTAGGTCTCACACAGTGCGAGGAAAGGAATCTCCATTTATTCTTTTTTTTAAAAAAAAAAGATTTATTTATTTGAAAGGCAGAGTTACAGACAGAGGGAGAGGGAGATCCTCCATCTGCTCATTCATCTCCAAATGACTGCAATGGCTGGGGCTGGGCCAGACCAAAGCCAGGAGCTACGGATCCCACAGCGGTCTCCTGCATGGGTGGTAGGTACCAAAGCACTTGTGCCATCTTCTGCTGCTGGGCCACACGCTTTAGCAGAGCAGCCTGGACTTGAACTGGTGCTCCAGTGTGGGATGTAGGTGTCAGAAGTGGCAGTTTAACCACTGCACCATGAAGCCAGCATTCTGATTTAATCACTTCTGCTCGTATCTTTAACATCTGTTCCTTCAATTCTATATAATTTCTTTCCTTTCTCTAATTTAATGGTTCAGAATACTTAACCCATCTGTTTCGGTCTTCCTCGTTGTGGAGTAAAAACAATTAAGGCTATGAATTTTCCTCTGAGTACAGCTTTCGCTGTATTCTCAAAATTTTTAAATACGGGAGCTTCATTTTTATTTTGGTTTATCTGTTTTATATTTTCTACAGTGATTTCTATTTTAATTCATCTGTTATTTAAAAGTTATTTTGGGGCTAGTGCTGTGGCACAGTGGGTTAACACCCTGGCCTGAAGAGCCAGCATCCCCTATGGGTGCTGGTTCGAGTCCCGGCTGCTCAATCCAGCTCTCTGCTATGGCCCGGGAAAGCAGTAGAAGATGGCCCAGGTGCTTGGGCCCCTGAACCCACATGGGAGGCCTGTAAGAAGCTCCTGGCCCTTGGCTTCGGTGGCCAATTGGGGAGTGAACCATCAGATGGAAGACCTCTCTTTCTCTGCCTCTCCTTCTCTCTGTGTAACTCTTTCAAATAAATAAGTAAATAGCTTTTAAAAAGTTATTTTAAAAGTTTTTAAACTTTAAAGGTTGCTACCTTTTATAATTTTTCCTAGTTTTATTGTAAATTATGATTAAACTAAGATCTTTATGATACTGATTCTTCAGAATTTATTTAGAATTCATTTGTGACCAACAAATGACTAATTGTTGTTAGTGGTTCACATTTTTTTAAAGATTTATTTTATTTATTTGAAAGAGTTACTGAAATAGGTAGAGACAGACAGAAAGAGAGGTCTTGCATCCACAGGCTCACTTCCCAAATGGCTACAACTGCCAGAGCTGAACTGATCTGAAGTCATGAGCCAGGAGCTTCTTCCGGGTCTCCCATGAGGCTGCTGGGGCCCAAGGACTTGGGCCATCTTCGCTGCTTTCCTAGGTGCATTAGCAGAGAGCTGGATCAGAATTGGAGCAGCCAGGACATGAACCAACTCCCATTAAGGGATGCCGGTGCTTTAGGCTAGGGCTTTAATCCGCTGCAGCACAGAGCCGGCCCCCCACATTTTCTTGAAAATAATTTGCATTCTGTTTCTTCATAATGGAATTCTGAACCTATTTAATTTAGCTTGTGTTAATTTTTTATTCCAAATATCTGTCTCTTTACTAAATACTCTATGTTGAATCTATTAGTTTTGGACATAAATGTATTATACTGTTTATACTGTGCTTATGGATTTATAAACTTGACAATTTCTCTTTGCAATTTATTTTACTTATCTGAGCGGCAGAGAGAGAGAAAGAGAGAGAGAGATGGAGGGAGAATGAGACAAACATGCTCTCAACTGCTGGTTTACGCCCCAGATGCTCAGGAACTGAGAACTCAATTAGGGTCTCCCACTTGGGTGACAGGGACTCCACTACTTGAGCCATCACCTTCCACCTCTCACAGTGTGCAGCAGCAGAAAGCCGGAACCAGGAGCAGAGCTGGGACTTGAACCCAGGCACTCCAACACAGGATGCAGGCATCCCAACTGATGTCTTAACCCCTGGGCCAGATGCCTGACCCAGGTTTCACTTCACATATTTCAAGTTTATATTGTTAAATATATTCAACTTTATGTTTGTTTTCTGTGATTCATAAATTCATTGTATTTTATTCCTTTGTTTGTTTTAATTTCTAATTTTTACATATGAATGTTGCTATAACCATTTTCATTTGCTTAATATTTTCATGGTATAAATTTAAAAATCACTATTTTTAGGCCGGCGCCATGGCTCACTTGGCTAATCCTCTGCCTGTGGTGACAGCACCCCGGGTTCTAGTTCCGGTTGCTCTTCTTCCAGGCCAGCTCTCTGCTGTGGCCCGGGAAGGCAGTGGAGGATGGCCCAAGTGCTTGGGCTCTGCAACCGCATGGGAGACCAGGAGGAAGCACCTGGCTCCTGGCTTCGGATCGGCATAGCGCCGGCCATGGTGGCCATTTGGGGGGTGAACCAATGGAAGGAAGACATTTCTCTCTGTCTCTCTCTCACTGTCTATAACTCTACCTGTCAAATAAAAAAAAAAAACAAATAAATAAATAACTTTTTATTTTATAATGATTATTTTTAAACTTTTTTTTTAAAAGATTTACTTATTTACTTGAGAGTTACAGACAGAGAGGGAGGGACAGAGAGAAAGGTCTTCTATCCACTGGTTCACTCCCCAAATGGCTGCAATGGCTAGAGCCAAGTCAGGAACCAGGAGCCAGGAGCTTAATCTAGGTCTCCCACATGGGTGCAGGGGCCCAAGTACTTGGACCATCTTCTACTGCTTTCCCAGGCCATAGGAGAGAGCTGGATCACTAGAGCAGCAGGACTCGAACCGGCGCTGCAGGTGGAGACTTAGCCTACTATGCCATAGCACCAGTCCCAAACCTTTTTTATTAAAGGAACTTATTTTTTAAAAAGATTTATTTATTTATTTGAAAGAGTTACTCAGAGAGAGGAGAGGCAGAGAGAGAGAGAAAAAAATCTTCCATCCAATGGTTCACTCCCCAGATAGCCACAATAGCCGGAGCCTGGCCAATCCGAAGCCAGGAGCCAGGAGCTTCTTCCAGGTCTTCCATGCGGGTGCAGAGGCCCAAGAACTTGGGCCATCTTCTACTGCTTTCCCAGGCCATAGCAGAGAGCTGGATTGGAAGAGGAGCAGCCGGGTCTCGAACTGGCACCCATATGGGATGCTGGCACTTCAGGCCAGGGCGTTAACCTGCTGAGCCACAGCGCCAGCCCAAGGAACTTATTAATATATTAGATTCTCAGGATCACAGCAATAATTGTAATTACTACAATATATTTCTTATCAGTTTTCATGTTAATTTCATATTACTACAAAAAG